GAAAAAAAGATTGAGCACGGGCCTGTGAACCAGACAATCGCGGTTTGATTCCCAGTCAGGGCACATACCTGGGTTGCAGGCCAGTTCCCTGCAGGCCAGTTCCCAGCAGGGGATGCATGAAAGGCAACCATACATTGATGTTTTTCTCCCTCTCTCCTTCCCTTCCCCTCTAAAGATAAATAAATAAAATCGTAAAAAAAAAAAGAAAGAAAAAAAGAAACTCGCTTGCTTTTATATAGGGTTAAACAAAGAGGTCCAGTTGTGGAAAAGTAGCTAAACTTTGTGGGAAGGTTAAAGGAAGGCAAGAATTGTTGTAACAAGGTCTGTCTGTACAGAACCCTCTTGACTCTCCATAGTTTCTTTGCAATTGGTAAGGGGAGGACATCTTTCACATGGGAGTTTTTATCTCCTTTTTCTAGAAGAAAGGGGGAGATCAGAATGATTTGCTTGCATCTGCTGTTTTTCAAGTACTTTTACCTCAAAATAATCCTTATGCTAAAGTGGTATATTTTGGGGCGGCATATTTTGCCACCTTGACTTTTGCAGGATAATCTCGCTGGATAAAGAATTCTCAGTTGGTATTTTTTCCAGCACCTTAAATATAGCGCACACTGTCTTTCTGTTTTCCTGGTTTGAAGAGCAGTCTAATGTAATTCTTATTCTTCTTAGATAGTTAAGATTATTTTCTTCTGGTTTCTTCAAGTGTTTTCTTTTTTTTGACTTTCTGTATTTTGCATATGATATGCATAGGTCTTGATTTTTTTTTGGTAATTATCCTGCTTATTGTTGTCTAAACTGCATTAACTTTGAAAAATGTTCAGCCATCATTACTTAAAATATGGCTTCTCTTCCTTTCTTTCTTTTCATTACCATTTTTTTCAGGCATGTATGTTATACCTTTTGTAATTTCCCCACAGGTCTCGGATATTCTATTCAATTTTTTCTCATTATTATTTCTTTCGCTTTTCAGTTTTGGAAGTTTCTATTGATATGTCTTTAAGCTCACTGACTTTTTTTTTCTTTGCTGTGTCTAGTCTACCGATGAACCCGTCGAAGTCATTCCTAATCACTGTTACAGTGTTTCTAATTTCTACAACTCCCTTTTGATTCTTTCCTAGAGTTTCCATCTCCATGCTTGCATTATCCACCTTTTCTTGCATTTTTTCCTTTAGAGCCCTTAGGATATTATCATATTTTAAATTCTCATTCTGATCATTCCAAAATCTCTGCCATATCTAAGTCTGCTTTTGACATTTGCTTTGTCTTTTCAGACTATATTGTTTGCCCTTTAAAATACCTTGTAATTTCTTGTTGAAACCTAGACATGATCTATCAGGTAAAAGAAACCAAGATAAAGAAACCTTTAGTTTGGGGTTTTATATTTATTTACTAGGGATCAGGCTGGGCTCACTCTTTGCTATGGCTGAGGTGTCAGAGATAAAAGTTTTATGTAGTCCCCTTGTTTTTGGCCTCCTCTGTTTTCTTTCCTACAGACCTCCTATTTAAATGGAGCCATAAATGCCATTTTAAGATATTGTAATCCTATTATTAAATAGAAGCCCTGTTGATATGTTCAGTAAGGTGTGGCGGAGGAGGAGCATCCTATAATCTTATGATTAGGTCTCAGTCATTTTAGTAGTTTTATGCCTCTAATTCTATGACCTTTACAAGTGCTTCTCAGTTACCACTCTCTTGCCCCTTTAGTGAGATCAAGTGGATCATGCGGATTGCAAGTTGGATCTGGGTATTTCCCTCCCCGAATGAGAAAGGAGAGGTGCCTGGAGTTGGGTAATTCCTAGCCCTTTGTGGGTTAGACTCTGGGGGAAAAAAACCAAGGTAGTTAGTTTTCTATTTTTAAGAAGAACTAAATGCTCTGGGTATAGTTCAAAATGTTTACTTTTCCCCTCATGCTGCCTGAAGCATGAGGGGATTTTTCTTTGAACTCTACCCTGAGAACCTGGTGCGGTTCTTTGGAGCCAACTCAGCAAAGTGTGGGGAAATCCCCCTAAGCGTGGCCATCTAGAAGTTTTCTCTGTCAAGCTTGTCCATGCTGAGTCTCCAACAATTAGTTAATTACTCTTAAAGCGTTCTTTATCAGTGATGGCTCCAGCAGTGGTTTCTGTTTCCAAAAATACCATAACTCTCTGCGTTCACCCATCTCCAGTTTTAGAGGTAATGGTTTGCCTCCAGACCTCACTTCTCTGATGGATCTAAGATGAGCTGTTGATTTTCATCGTATGTGCTATTTCCCTGTGTTGGATCGTCTCTTAAAGCATATGCATCGTGATTATTGTTATACTCTAAAATGTCTAGATTATTTTTTGTAGAAACCAAATGATAAATTATTTATTGCAGTTAATAAGCCATTAAGATAAGTTACAACCTAAAGGGCCATGTTTTATATAAAATATACAGTATATTCTATAATGGTAGCAGGAGTTTTAGCAACAGAAACTATTTCTTTCCAGTGAAATTTCACATGTTAACTGGATCACATCCTTTAATGTTCAATCACAGACATTGTTTTGCAATTATTTTTTATTCATGCAATTTATTTAGGGCCTACTATGTTCCAGGCACCATTCTAAACATGGGGATAGATTGTTTGACAAAACAATCAAAAACTCCTGTCCCTGTGGATCATGTGTTCCAGTCAAGGGAAATAAACAATAATCAATGGTACTAATTAATAAGCAAATTATATGGAATAATTGAAGGTGAAGGGTAACATGGAAAATAAAGAAATAGAGCAGGCAAGGGACAGACACAGTTACAGTTTTCATTAGTCCATTCATTGGCTAGAACTAAACACCATAGACTGGCTGGCCTATAAACAACAGAAATTTATTTCTTATCCTTCTGGACACTGGGGCATTCAAGATCAAGATGTTGGAAGATCTGGTGTCTGGTGAAGGTCTGCTTCCTGTTTCATACATAGCCATCTTCCCATTGTGCCGTCACGTGAGATAAGGTTAAGAGCGTCTCTGAGGTCTCTTTTATCAGGGTACTAATCTCATGACCTACCCATCTCCCAAAGTTAGCACTTCCCAAAGCAATCACTTTGGAGATTAGGTTTCAACTTATGAATTTTAAGGGGACAAAAGTGGTCAGTCTATGGCAAGTATTTACTGAGCAAATCTCATTTACAATGAAGTTAAGTAGACTTGAAGCAGAACAAGAGCAAGTGCCATAAATATAGCTGGCTAAAAGATTTATCTTGTGTCAGTGAAACATGCCATGCAAAGAAAGGTCCTGATGAAAAACAAGGTCAGGGAGGCAGCAGTGAGTTGAGATCCAAGAGATACCTCGGACTATGGAAAGGGTATTGACTTTTATTCTGGATGAAAGGGCCTGCCCTTGTGGGTCTATAAGTCAAAAAGAGACATGATCAATTTAACATCGAAAAAAATTTGGCTGGCCTATTCAGATTTGACTGTAAGAAAACTGTTTAGAAAGCCATTGAAATATATTAGACAAGAAATAATGTGGCTTAGGTCAGCATAGTTCTATGTAATGGATGTTAGGTGTTAGAAAAAGAGAAAAGGCAATAATATTTCTGAGCTCTCTGGGCTGAACAAGGAGAAAGAAGTCTTCCATAACTGAGATAGGATAAAAACAATAAATAGACTAGGTTTTGGTTGGGAAGATGAGAATTTTAGTTTGGGCATGTTAATTTTGAGACATCTCTTAGCTATCCAAGTAGAGATCCTAAGCAGATATCTGGACTGCAGGAGAAATATTTGGCTAGAGATATACTTTGGGGAGTCATCGGCATACAGATGGTACTTAGAGACTTGAGGCTGTAAGATTACAGTAGGCGTGAGTGTGGATAGAGAAAGGAAGAGAACCAAGACACATGAAAAGGTGTGAAGGTGTGGGGAAGAAGTGGGTGGTATGTAGAATGACAGAAGAAACCATAAAAGAAATTGAGAAGAATCATAAGTAAGCTAAAGAAGTAAATGAGGCAAATATGCAATGAGGAGAAAGTGAAATCTACTCTGGGAAATGCTGCCGATAAATCTAGCAGGATGAGATAGGCTAGCAAACTGTCAGTGTTTTTGGTATGGGAATATTGAAAACAGGGCAGGAGTTGGAAACAATAACAGCAAAAACTTAACTGAGGTCAGATAGCTTGGTCTGGAACCTTTCTCTGGCATCGGGAAAGTCTTCCTAAGTCATTAAGACAGTTTCTTGCCCTCAGCACACACCATGTGCCCAAACACAGATTGAGATCCAGTTCACATGTGAGTGTCTATGTTCTGATGGATCAGTCTGGGAGTCCCAGAAATTCCTCAGCAACGTCTATTCCACCAATGTCTAGCTGTTCCCTCAACTGAGAAATGTCATGAGCTAGTCTGTTGCTAGCTCTACCATTCTTAAACCTAGTTCATTTTGGTCTAAATAACTGAAATTTTAGAGTTGCTGGAATTACCCTGGTGCTCCAGGAAGCCTGTGGCACCAACCTCAAAAGTTTGCACGTGCTAAATCCCATAAAATGAACTGATAAAGATAAGAAATGTTCTTTTAGCCCCTCTCTCTTTTATTAATGAAGAATTTTTACAAATTTTACCAACCTTCAGCCTACAGACAAGCCTTGATTTTTTTCTTCTTTATATTCAAGGAAATAATAGTTTTTTTCATTTTGTTTCTTCAAGAACTTTGTACACAAAATGTGCAGGTAATATGAAACAAAGTATAGAGTTATGGTTTCATATGCTACATGAATGGTTAATAATATAAGATATAATAATATAAGTAACATTTTATTTAAAAGAAGGCCTATCTTCTACATTATTCATCTTCAAAAGCATAAAAGGAAAAAAAGATATTGACAGAGGGTGCTGGGAGATATTGGGTCATGAAAATACTATAAAACATTGTGGTAGGAAGATGTCAAAAATAAATTGTTATAATATCCTGTTAATAACAACAAATAATTTTATTTTTAATGCCTCACAGCAACACTTTGATGCACAAAATGTCATACTCTTTTTTTTCAGTCCAAAAGGATATAGTCCGCATCCTCCCCAGTTTAGATATTGAAGTCAAAGACATTACTGACAGTTATGATGCCAACTGGTTTCTTCAGCTGTTGTCTACACAGGATCTTTCTGAAAGGACCAGTAAAGAGTTCCCCGTGGTGGCTGAAGTCATAGAAGCACCTCAAGGAAACCATCTCCCCAGAAGCATTTTACAGCCTGGGAAAACCATTGTGATTCACAAAAAGTATCAGGCATCTCGGATCTTAGCTTCAGAAATTAGAAGCAATTTTCCTAAAAGACACTTTTTAATCCCCACTAGTTATAAAGGCAAGTTCAAGCGACGACCTCGGGAGTTCCCAACAGCTTATGACCTGGAGATAGCGAAGAGTGAGAAGGAAGCTCTCCACGTGGTGGCCACCAAAGCCTTTCACCCCCCTCATGATGAGTTGTCATCCGTGTCTGTCGGGGACCAGTTTCTAGTGCATCACTCACAGACGACTGAAGTCCTCTGCGACGGGATCAAAACAGTGGTGAATGTTCTGGCCTGTGAAAAAATCCTCAAAAAACCATACGAGACAGCGCTGCTCCCTTTGTACATGGAAGGAGGCTTTGTGGAGGTGATCCATGACAAGAAACAGTACCAGATCTCTGAGCTCTGCGCACGGTTCCACTGGCCCTTCAATGTGAAGGTCTCTGTGCGAGATCTTTTCATCGAAGAAGACATTTTGGCTGCTACCCCAGGACTGCAATTGGAGGAAACCGTCACGGACACTTACCTGCTCATAAGTGACTTTGCCAACCCCACTGAGTGCTGGGAGTTTCCTGTCAGTCGCTTGAATATGACTGTGCAGTTAGTTAATAGTAATTCGTCTCAGGATACAGGATCAATTCTAGTCAAGACTCTGATTGAAGAGATCACAGAAGAACAGTATTACATGATGCGAAGATACGAGAGCTCTTTCTCGCACCCCCCACCGCGCCCCCCCAAGCACCCTGCAGTGGGAGAAGCAAAGCTAACTCTGCTACACGTGGCGGAAGAAAAGACCGTGGGGCTGCCGAAGTCCCCCAAGGTAAGGCTGTGATTTTGCACTTTTCCTTCTTGAGTGTTTTTCTTGAGGCAATTTATTTCAAGTCTCTTCTGAGTTTGTTTTTTGCTTACTTTTCTTTCTTTCAAGCCGTATCTGAAATGAGCCTTTTCGACGCACAGTAGATGAATGAACATCAACAGAGCATAAGCTGTTGCAGCATTTCATGTTTTGGTGCTTACCCAGTAAATGTGACAAGAAGTTGATGTCGAATTAGAAATAGCGGGGATGGCATTGGAATATGCTGACCCAAATTGCCGTTTAAATGGGTTTTAGTAATTAGGCATGTTTGGTAAGTTTACTCGGAAGAAAATCTCTTTTATTTTGAAAGAGCTGTTCACTTTTTTTTTGCTAGAGTTGTTTTAATACAATACTTCATCCAGAAAATGAGTGTACAAAAACCTCTCTTCTTCTGGTGGGTTACCAGTAGCGCGCATCTATAACACACGTCTTCATTTTGTTTTAAGTGCAGAAAGATGTAAAAATATCTTGGCAGAACGATGCATGAGCATATGAGCATCTGCCCACATTCTGCCTATCTGAGAATTGGAATCTTTAACAGTTCTATTGAAAAACAAAATCAATAAAATTGCAGGCAGTATGAGATCATTACAGAATCAACAACTCCATAACTACTCTAAAGTTTTTGGCAGGGGAGGGGTTGCAGCTTCGTTACTACCTGAAGTTTTTGCCTTTTGAAAACTGCCTGCGGAGGGTCTGGGAAGCATTTGTCCTTACACCATGAAGCATGGGTCGTTTATCCGGCCGGCAGTGGTTCTATGGCGGCATGTGGAAAGCGTGCATTCCGGCCTGGCAGATGTTGTGCTAGCAGCTCCGGGAAACAAAGCCATTAGTAATACAAAGAGAGATGCTGTGTTTACTCTCTATACGCGGGAATAATAGCTGCCTCAGGCTTCAAGTATGTGGGTATGAAACTACTTATAATTCCACATGTCAAATATTGCATCCTGATTGTATGCTAGAGAAATCCAATAAGGACCTTCAAACTCATCTTCAGAAGAAGGAAGATAAAGCCAGCCAATTTTTTCCCAGAAAAACAATTTTGAAAGAGTCATTGTGAATTAAACAACTGTTTCCAAATAATGTTGATTAACATGCTTCTGTTCATGTAGAGAGTATCTGGCTTCTCCTGGTAAATGCATGTTTATTGCTGAATTGAGTGATGTGAGGCATGGAATGCTGGGGTGTGTTTTACTGGTAAGCAGTCCAGTGCTCCCAACCCCAAGGTTTCCATCCCTAAGGCTTAAGAACCTGAAACTATGTTGTATTGGGTAGCAAAAGAGTCTTTGTACAAGTGCTTAAAATTAAGGACTTTAAAATGAGATTATCCTGGATTATCCAGGTAGATCCAATTTAATTAGGAGTCCTAAAAAGACTTTTCTCAGTTGAGGTCAGGATCAGAGAGATGGGATGACAGGAGAATCTCCAGAGAAATGCATTGTTGTTGACTTTGAACATGGAGGAAAGGAGCCTTAAGCCAAGGAAAGCAGGTGGTACCTAGAAGCTAGAAAAGGCAAAGAAATCTTCTTTCCCAGAGCCTTCAGAGCAGAATTTGGCTGTCCTGACACCTTGATTTTAGCTAGTGAGAGTCATGTCAGATTTCTGACTTACAGAACTTTCAGATGTAAATTTGTATCACATAAGGCACCCAGTTCATGTTATAAAAACAATAGAAAGTTAACAGAGGGCATAAAGTTAGGAGGGAGATATAAATAAAAACCTTTAATAGAAAAAAATCTATATTTAAGTTAGAACTTGTTTTGTTGTCAAAGTGGCTCATTCTTTTTAATAAATTTATTAGATATGTATCCTTGGAGAACCTGGAGCTAAGCTCCAGGACCAATTGGAAGTAGGATCTCAAACATAGCCAGAGTGGTTCTTACTTTTCATCACAAATTAGTTTATTTTCATAAGCTACTTTTATTCATACCAGGCACACTACTGCTTATAGTTACTGCAGCTCATAATTCCATCACTAGGGAAGAATATATTTTTGTTTGATTACAGTTTGAAAAGAGAAGGACTTTGAATCACCTGTCCATCTCCTGGTTCGGTCAACTCATTGCTGCCCCCAAAATAGTCAAGATTAATGGGGAAGGGAATGAGGACTAGTTGTCTCAAATAATAGATACTGGGACAATATTTGATGATCTGGAGGTACAAAAGAATAGATGTCTATCACAATCAGAAATAAAAAAATTCTAACCTACTAAGAAAGCATTTATAGGAAAAGAGATTAAATTTTTTAAAAATGCCTTTTGACAGAATGTCATATGAAAATGAGTTAAGTGTTTTATTAAGAGAGGAATCCACAAAGCAGCCATGTGTGTCTAGGCTACTGTTTTGGAAAAATCTCCAGCCTTCTGCCTGCGACTCTCCTTTACTCTCACATTACTACCACACTCAGCACTTCTAACACCAGCAGGTTTTCCCACACCAAGCGATTCGGAGGCACCAGCGAGCTATTCTACAATTTAATTCCGACACTATCTACCTGCAGACAGTGTCAGATTTCACAGGTTACTTCGGGCTCAATCCCACCAGACACACATCAGATGCCTTTCACAAGTAGTAGGTCTTCAGGTTACCCACATCTCTCATCTATCTTGGCTACAAATCACAGGTTGCCGTGACCCCCTCCTTGGGTTCTCTTTGCCAGAGTGGCTTACAGAACCCAGGGAAAATACTTACTTTCATTTACCATTTTGTTAAAGGATATAATAGAGGATACGGATGAGTAGTTAGATGAAGAGACAGAGAAGGCAAGCTCTAAGAGGGTCCCAAGGTCTGGAGCTTCTCTTCCCAGCTAAGTCATGATATGCTACTCACCCAGGACGTGGGTGTTTTCACCAATCCAGAAGCTCCCCAAACCTCATACTTTTTTGGATTTTTGTGGAGGCTTCCTCACATAGGCATGATCAATCATTAACTCCATTTCCAGTCCCTCTTCCTCCTTTGGATAATTGGAGAGGGCTGGGGCTCAAAATTCAAAACTTCTATTTATGGATTAGTCTTTCTGACGACCAGCTCTCATCCAGAAGCCACCTAAAAGCCCACCCAGATTCTCCTCTTTAGAGCAAAAGATACTCCTATGACCCAGGAAATTCTGAAGGATTTAGGAGACCTGTTTCAGGAACCAGGGTCAAAGGTGAAATATTAGAACAAAAAATACTCCTAGGACTCGTATTACATAGGGAATTAATTATAACAAGCATTTTAGGAGCTCTGCACTAGGAGCTGGAGGCAGAGACATATATATATAAATAATATTTCTATTATCTTACACCTAGTAAAACAAAACTAATGCTCTCTTAGACCAAATTTATAGATAGAGGTTCTAGATCAGCTTAATAATTTTTAGCTAATTCTTCAGCAGTCAAACCTCACGTGTATTATTGTGTCTAGTTCTAAGTCTACTTCTAAAGAATAGTGATAAACTGAAACTTCTTAAGATGTTAAGAGTTGTTTGTTAAATTGTTAAAAGGTCCTGGAGACATTTTCATCTGAGAACATATTGAGGGAACTGAGTAATAGTTAAAACTTGAATGACTTGGTACTTGATAAAATATTAGTTATTTTACACATTTAAAGAACTATCAAAAGTATGTATTTTAAAGATTGTATTTATTTATTTTTAGACAGATGGAAAAGGAGGGAAGAAGAGAGGGAGAGAAACATCAGTGTGTGGTTGCCTCTCACACACCCCGTATTGGGGACGTGGCCTGCAACCCAAACATGGGCCCTGATTCAGAATGCAACCAGTGACTCTTTGGTTTACAGGCCATTGTTCAATCCACTGAGCCACACCAGCCAGGATGAGAGTACATTCTTATTTTTCATTACAACATTGCTTGAGAGTCAAGGAAAGACAATTTCAATATAATTGTTAGAACAGATTTATTGTCCCCCAAAACATTATAGCAGAAGCTAGGAAGCCCTAGGTTGAGTGATGTCGGGAGATTTCTGCTTGGTTGACACTTTATCAGTCAATGGAAAAGTGTCTATGATTCTCTGTTTATGATTACATAGTTACATCAAATTTAGTGCAGTAAAGAGCTTCATTTTCCTGAAATCACTTTAAAATGTCAAGAGGACTATAAATTATGTGTTTAGACTTACTGACCTCCTCATTTTCAACAATTTTTCTTACCATGAAAATAGAAATCTGCTTAGTGGATACTTTTTTAATATAAATGAGATATCTGTCAGTTTCTGCATAATCTACTGGAAAATTATTATAACCAATTATATCTTATTATTGCAGTGTCATTCTCCCATATATTTCTTCTGATATCTACATTAAAGCTATTGTATGTATGCTTTTGAAGTGATTGGATAGAACATTTTCATTTTTAATTCTAAAGGCAGGAAGCTACCATTGAAAATAAGCATCTAACATTTTGGGCTGTGTGTGAAATATTGCTTTAAATTCAGAGAACAATTTGTGAGGGTTATTTGAGTTTAAATATTCAAACACACTTAACTCATTAAAATATCCTATTATATATGAACAGAAGACTATTAGATGCTTCATTATGTAAGTTTGCTTTTGTTTTTCCTGTGGATCATCTAAGAAATTTAGAAATGAAAAATATATATGGTCAGGTTATAGAAACTAAGATCAATAGAAATCATTGTTTTTCAGGGTAATATTGTCAGCTTTTCTCAAATTTTAGCAATACCTAAATAAGAGAAAATGGACTGTAGTAGAACTTTGAGAATTTATTGTGGGTATTAGCATGGACAGCTGAGCAAGGCAGGTGGATATCAACAGAGATAACAGCACATATCAAGGCCTAGTAAGTTCTACGCTGAAGGGTTTTATTCCTGTTTTAAAAGTATAATACTTAACTGGGAGACTAATGTGTGGGGTCTAAACAAAGGGATGAGAATATACCAAGGGACCCTTAAAAATGTTTAGGCTTATAATAGAGTGCATAATGTACATTATGACTTTTAATCAG